GAGTGGTGTCGCTGAGCGTCTACGAGACATATTTTATACACAGTGGAAATTTGTAATGCCACCTCGAGGGAAAATACTCTTAGTACTGTAGAAAGAATATTTTACTCAAAGAATATTATTATTATTGAAAAAAAAAAAGAAAACTGCATTCAAAGATCTGCGATTTTTTTTCGAAAATTCACCACCATACCATAAAATTTTCTGTACACAATTAAAATAATTTAAGATTTCATGGTTTTCCTTTCATTTAATTAATCAAGTTTGTTAGAGAGATTTCATCCATACTTAACCCTAATGATCGATGCAAAAAATACAGGGTGTAATTTTTAACAGATTTTAGTTGGTTCGATTCCCGGGTGTGGCAAGCAAATATTTGAAAATCTTTGAGTGCATTTCTATTTCTTTTAAAAATAAAGGATGTTTTCTTTGAGTAAAATTTTCTTTCTTACAGTATTAACAGTACTTTCCCCCCAGGTGGCATTACAAAATTCCACCCTGTAGATACTGTGGCAGGCACACGAGCGGTGCGGTGCCGTGCAATACGGCAAATCTTTGCGGTGCCGCGGTGCGACGCCGCATGGCCTCGTATGCTTGGGCTCTCAGAAGTAATGAAAAATCCAATGCAGATGCAAAATCCCTTCCAGACCTATTTTCACTTCGCGATCAACAGCTCTAATACAAATCTGTTTCTCAATAATCTAATTAATACAAATCTGTTCCTCAACTGTCATTTACGCCAATTCGGTGGAGGCACATTGATAGGGTCAAGATGACTCATCGTGATGAGGTCATGTCACGTTGACTGACGATAGTTTCAGTGCAGCTTCTGTAAAACTCAAGTTTCTACCCAATATGCACTTAGGTAGACTCTTATATCGTATGTCACTTACATTTCCAACGTAGTAGATGGTATAATGAAAAAATATCTAGTCTGTACTTATGTATTTAGTATACTCAAAAACATACTAACCATACTTCATACATAATATATAGGATTTCAATTTATTTCCTTTATGAAATAAATCGAAATAAGAGTATATTTAAAGGATCAAAATACGTCTCTTCGTATACGAGTAAATACCACCTACCTACTTAAAACAGGTCTTAGTTTACTGAAAAGACGACTTCACTCGTATAAAAATGCAAACAAAGTTATTCAACGATACAAAACACCCTCATCTGTTATATTTCAACAAATTCCATTATTGAATGAACAGATAATAAACAATATACACTTCGGGCCGTGTTCATGTGTCACAGACCCAATTCGTACCTAGTTCATAGTTCTGAGCGGAAATTGAAGCCGATAGGGAAGGAGGAAGGTGTGTCGGCGTCACCCTATTTTCAATAATAATTACACAACATTGAATAGCTAAAGGACGAATTTCGGATGTAGGTACCTACCTCCATTTAAGAGACTTCATTTACGGTCTGTTGTTGTATTGAAAAATGGTTTATTGTGTTTTCAGGTTCCAGTTATTTTGGCGTGTTTAAAGAAAATGAGATAAATGTCTGAAAAAATTAATGAAATTGCACAACAGACGTATACCTGTTAGTCGACAGTGTAACGTGTATTTCATTATCATACAATCAATTTCATCAATTTGATGACCGAGGGTCTAGATGTTATTGAGTTACAATACCGCAGCTGCCATTTGCGAGTTCGAGTCCCGGTGACGACAAATTAAGTTAATGTGATAGAGCATTTGAATCTGGAACTATTCTATATCCATAGATAAGTACGAGTAGATCGATAGTGTTATAAAATGAAAAAATATACCAAAGTGAAAATTGCCCAAATAAAATTAGCTGCTTTTTAATTAGAGGACGGCAGCCATACTTACGGTACAAACAAAAAAGTGATTGCAACAATGTATTATTTTATAAAAAAAAACATGACTGCAAATACGAGTTAAAGAATCCAAAAGCACTTAACTAAATGACTAGCTATTACTACCCTAATAGCAGGTAAGTGTACGTATCTTTGAGTACCTAAATACGTTAAAAGAACACGGAAAATATTCTACTACGCAAGATGCTTCCTATCATAACCAATTTCCTCTTATTACGTCGATGCAGATAAAGTACCTACCTTCCATTACAATGTTTTCACTCCACTGAAAGCACAACGAAATGAATATAATATTTAGAATCGAAACAAAAGTTCAATGAAGCCGTTTATAACGTTTCCACGTCTTTAATATAAAATGGTTGTCTTCGGTTACAAGGTTTGAATTCTTGTTGATTAATTTTCCGAGCGCCTCGTGGAAACACTGCAAGATTCTATAGAATTCATATTCCTGTACCAATGCAGAAGATTTCATTTCATCAGGTTTTAGTTCTTTATAATTTTTTCTTGGAATTGTTTTTGCTTTGAAGAGGTAGAGTCTAGCGTGGGTAGTTTGGCTCGGCTTAACCTGATATAAATAGCTTCGTAATAGGATTATCAGATAAACTTAAAATTAAAAAATATTTTAGCGTTAATATAAAACGAATATTATCCACCTTCACCAGTGAAAACTATTGAGAGCTACTTTCGCGGTTGTAAAGGTAGAAAATAGGCTCTAAGGCCCTTGGGAGACTCCTTCGCAATCCCAAGTCAAAAGTTTGTGGAAACAGTAAATTATTCTACTGCTCGCTGGACCCAGGGGATTCAAAGAATAACATAAGAACGCAGGCAGCGGGTAATCTATTGAGTTGCTAGTGGGATTTGCTTAGGTGGTTCTGATTTAATGTTAGAAGAAAAACACAGCGATTCTGATACATCAAATTGACAGCTGTAGCTGTGGTGATGTTCATGGCGTTGTAATCAACAGAAAGATGAGAAAAGAGTTTTAGGAAGGGAGGAATCAAATAATCCTAGTATAATCCATTGCAGTTCTTTAAACTAGACGCATACCACTGTTTTTTAATTTGGCCGATAGTTGGATCGGGCTGTTGATCAGTATGGAGATGTATGAAAGTGCACACATTACACCGATTTGATAGCGACCGATTCTTCATACAAATTAGAATCAGGCCCAACTATCAGCCAACTAAAAGTCGGTGATCTGCGCCTAGGCCTAAACTAAAGATTTTATGTTCCTGATATGAAACATAAAATATGTTTCATATCAGGAACATAAAATCTTTATTTTATTATGATCTATTGGAATTTGATTTTTTTTTTCGGAACTTTTTCGGTTTTGGTTAAAGTACCTAATAATGTGCTCACAGTTTTTATTGAACTTCGNCATTTTTGTTCCGTTGCATTTCGCTGCTGTCCACGCTGCGCAGTATATTATTGTTTGAAATGTTTTAAAATCTGTTTCAGTATTTAAATAGTTTGGGAGGATCTTGTTATTGATGTAGTGTATTATAGCAGATAGCTTTTTCGATGTTTTTTGTTTACGGATGAAAGGTCTATTAGTGGGTTCAGTATCAATAAAGGTTAGAAATGTTCCTTCAAATGTCTTAGTAATCGCACAATTAGCATCTGGACTTAAGTTTTCAGTGTGGACAGTTCTGGTTTGTTGTGGGTCTTCCTCTAGTGCGCAGGTAGTTGTCAGTAGCGTGCTGTTTAGTTCAGTGTCTGTTTGGAAATTATCATCTATAATAATATCACTAGAAAGTATGTTTGTTTGTGTAGAATAATTTGGTGTTAAGGGTTCTATGCTGGATAGTTGGGAACAGTTTTCATTGGTGTTATGTTCAGTTATTCCATTTTTTATTTCCAATAGTTTTCCAGGGTCTAACAATCTATTATTAACTATCGATCGTCTTTGATCAGAAAGTCTTTGTGCTGTAATGTGCGCGAGATTTGGGTGTGTGTCGATGAATTTCTTATGTAACTTATTTCGGTATGCAGACATGTTGGTTTCTGATTCAGTAACTATATAGTAACATCTCATCAAACTTTCGTTTAATTCGTCGGACCATCTCATCCTACTGTTACTGTCATGTGTAGTGGGTTGTGTAGGGGTAGATTGTTGTGTTTGTGTATTATTAATTTGAAGTTCCTCGGCTATATCTGTCCTAATTTCTTGTAAGCGGGAGTCGGAGAACAATTTGTTGCATATTATCAAACGTCTTTGGTCGGCTACTCGTTGCTCGGATACGTGTGAGAGATTAGGGAATAGGCTATTTGACAAATTTTGAAAATCGTTTTAAATGATTCTATGATATACTATAAGCACACTCCATTAATATTTCTGGCAGATTTACTGTATTATTAGTAAAAAACGGTGTAAAAGTTTAAATTATCAAAACCGCGCCAAAAACGATGTTTCTGACTCGTGTGACGTCACACACCAGTAAACAAATTTCTGACCTCTAAAAAGATACGTCAGTGGGAATAACACTGAAGAGAATTTTATTAATTTCCTTCAAATTTAATGGTTAAAATGGTTTATAAATGGTGTGTAGTGCCACATTGTACAAATACGTCTATAAAGGATCCAAACAAAGTATTTGTTTCTGTACCAACGAATCCCAAGAGACGGAAAATGTGGTTACAATTAGCTAGAAGAGACCCAAATTGCATGTTAACGCATACAAATGTGTTTATGTGTGAAGATCACTTTAATGTAAGTAAATTTTTTCTTGATTTTAATACGAGACATACTCAGGCAATGTTATAAAACTTCATTACTTGTAACTTGTAAGTCGTGCTAACTTCTACAGTTTTGTGTGTTGTCTTGTAAAGGCTTATTAAAGGCTATTGTATTGTGTGTGAAACTTAATTTTGCTAGTCAGTAATACTGTTTGTTTTGCAGATGGAAACTGACACCAAGAACTATAACATGTATAAAATGGGCTTTAGTCAAAAGATACTTTTAGCAGATGAAGCCGTGCCAACTAAATTTGATTGCCAAGAGGATCGCAAAAGACGGCTGTCCGGTGAAGGATCTTCTCGAAAAGTATTCCTTAAAAGGCAAAAAACTGATCTTATTACAGAATGTCTTCAAAATCAAAGTGTTACTGAAACTGAAAGATTACAAAAAGATGAAGTCGTGACACAAATGATTGAACCTGAAGGTATATATTTGTCACAGCTATCATATTAGTACTTAAATGTTTATGTTATTCAATTTTAAATTAAATAAATAATTTTTGATGTTGTCTTTTCAGAATTACCAAGAACTCAAGACAAAGAAAGTATCACCAATCCTATTATAACTCTAGAAAAATCTGTTCAAGTATCAACTAAAGTGATAAGGCATTATAGGAGCAAAGCTGTTCAAACAATATGTCAGAATAAAAGTATTTCCACCTCCCCATTTAAAGTTTCTACAACATCTCGTTTCACCTCGCCTTTTAAGCCTGAATCATGACGTCTTCAAGTATCACAATCAGGAGCTGTTAAAGTACCTATTTAAAAGAAATATTGGCCTTGAAGATGAAAAATCTGATAGTGATATTTCTTTGTTTGAAAGTGGTCATTCATCTCCTTTTATACCTACATCATCATCAAAGGTTACTGATTCCGATAGTAATGTGACTGATACCAATGAAAATATTGAACAATTACAATGCCTTAAAAATACTATGCGTTTGATTGAAAAGAAACCTTTGATGTATGTTGGTATAACCAAAGAATGTTATTTCCTAATTCAGTTAATACATAAGCACACAAATATAAAAGTGGAAAACATATTGCTATGCTTTGAAAAAATTAGATTAAACAGTACATTTTCCGAACTAGAGGATAATTTTGGAATATCATTATCTTATGCCAGTAAACTATTTGTAGGAAACATACCAATAATAAGTAGTGTTTTAAGACCATTCATTGTAAACTTGGATAAAAAAATTATTAAAAGTAATCTTCCTATTGCATTTAGACACAACTATCATAATGTCAGTTGCATTATTGATTGTCTAGAAATTGATATACAAAAACCATCTAAGGCTCTTCATCAAGCACTGACATGGTCAGAATACAAAAAGGGGAATACTGTGAAGTATTTAATATCCTGCACTCCTAATGGATTGGTTAATTATGTTTCTCAAGGGTTTGGGGGTAGAGCAAGTGATGTTACGATAGTAGAAAACTGTAAGTTTCTAAATGGATTACAACCAGGAACCTGCATCTTAGCTGACAGAGGTTTCAAGCATCTTGAACAAATGCTTCATGAGAAGGGTATGAAACTATTAAGGCCACCAAGTGTAAGTGCTGGCACAAAGTTATCGAAATCTGAAGTTCGACAAACTAAAATAATAGCTAGCTTGCGAATACATATCGATAGGGTAATAAGACGAGTAAGGGAATTCCATATGCTAAAACAACATTCAGTGATTAATACCAACATACTTCGTGTGCTTGATCATGTTATTATTATTGCATGTGCTCTAATTAATTTGCAGGATTCTCTTATTAAATAGTTAAATAATAAAAAATTAAATACAGAACTGTTTTTTATTTCATTACTCATACACTGGTGTTAACATACAAAATGGGATAGACATTGTTTTTCCAAAATGTAACTAATTTTGGTAATAAAGTGCTAATATAAGCACTGTCATAAGGCACTACAATAATGTCAACATTTTTTGTTGCTTCGAACTCGCTGTCAGCAACACAAAAAAAGCACTTCTTATAACCAGTTGCATACATTTGCAGTTGCACCTGAGCCATGAATTTTTTTGTAATATTGCCATTTTTTAAATAACTTTCTTTGGTTTTGGCCTTGGTAGGGCATTTTATTTCTATAATGGCATCATTTGTTATACCGTCAGGAGATGCTGCTATCATAGGGTAGTTTTCAGTTATGAATAGCCCACATGTGGTTATTTTCTTCTTTAACTTGCTACTCACTGTCTTTCGGACAGAGGACTCTAAATCTCTGCCTCTTCGCATTGCGGCTGAATCAGGTATTTTTGCACCCATTATGGATGCAATTAAAGAGCCATCAGGTGTTTTGCATACACTCACCTCATGTGCCCTAGAAGCAGTGATACGGCCATACCTCATTTCATACCACAAGCTGCTCTTGTTCTGCTTCCTTGTAGCCATTTCAACTTCACTTATGGCAGCTTTATTGAATGTGTCTCTCATCTTTTCTATTACTAAATCTACATCCTGTTTAGTATCTGGCGACTGTTTCATAATAAAACAGTGCAATGAAAATTGCATCACACCACTATGTAGAAAATTATTCTGATGCTTGAGCAACTCGCAGTTGTGAATGTTTCTCTTATTGGCTTCTGCTAAAAAACCATCATAAACTGAAGTTACGCTTGGTCGGTGAGGGATTTCTTTTTTTGACAACTGCTGCACAGTAATGTATTTCAGCGTTGTACCTACTTTTGACAGAGTAGGTTTTCTCCAGTAGCATTCAACTGAAGTACATGCAGGCTCTTCTGAACGGCGATGGACCCACATTAAAAATGCTACAGCATGCTTGCATCCCCCAGCTGAAGCTGCACAGTCGTGGCACTGACAGCTAATCACTTTGCTGTCCTGTTCATTAACAACCATCGTGACATTGTAAGATTTTGTTCTGACGCGATGTTCAGGGCACATTTTACATTTCACTGTACATATTCCATCCTTGCGATGTAGCTGGACATATCCAATTGCATCGTCTCCGTAAGTTTCCCTTGCAGACCTGTGGAACAAGAGCAAAGGTCATGACAAAAATTTAGTTTGTATTAACATAACCTCCACATAGAGGTTATGTTGACTTGAGAGTAAATGTGTGAATGACCAAAAGTGCGATCTAATAATAATCCTTTAGAATACTTACACAGCTGTTTTCACATTTTTAAGTTCTGCAGAATAATAATCAGGGTTATTTCTGAAGAAAAGTGCAACCATAAAAGCGTCGATCTTTGGCAGGTTGCTATTGTCGGCTCGCACAAAACTTATTTCCATTCTGAGTTTGTAAGTACAAAAGACCTTAAAGATTAACAAAAATAGCTTCAGAAGTAGCTCACAGATGTAATTATCACTGAGAAAACTTAAAATTCGTACAATTAGCAGTCAAAAAAATGGCTGTTTACTTGCATGAGACGTCACCGGAGTTGCCACCAATCACAAGACGTTCCCGTCGCAACATTTTTTTTTTATATTAATTTATTTCGCTTATTTTGGAAAAAATATACTTAATTTTGTTTCATTTATAGTGAAATATGCCTTTTTAGGCATTTAGCTGATAGGATGACCACAATTTGTGGTATATTTTAAATGTTGTCAAATAGCCTATTGCGTAATAAAGTCTTGATGTAATTGTTTCCTATATGTTGTTCGGGTAGATTCTAATTTTGTTATTCGGTAGTAGGACCTGATTATANATGATCTTAAGGTTCAAGGGCTATCCCAGCATAATTATAAAGTTATTCCGCTAGCTATACAGTGTGAGTCACGATAAAGTGTACAATATGAAATTAGGAGAAACTAGACCTATTTTTATCAACAAAAAGAGGTCAAAATTTATTTGAGATTTAAAAAAAAATATATAGAATTTTTTTTCTTCCAATTACTAATTATAAAGAAAACGTATTAACTTTTAAATAAAGAGGTTTATCCTGATATAATAAAAACAGTAATAATGCTAAATAACAGACAATACTAAAAAAATACATAAAATACTCAGAGAATGCCAACAAATAATAAAAAATGATACTTTTTTAAAAAAACCTGCTTAAAAATTCGTGTATTTTTGGTTATTTGATAAATTTCTCCAAAAAATGCCCCTATAACAGTTGGTTTTTATTGCTTTGTATTATTCTCTATCGTTATTTATATTATTACTAGCTGACCCGGCGAACTTCGTACCGCCTTAGCGTAGAGATTTTCTTAATATTTTTTTCCGTAAGAACCATCCTTGGACTTCCACAAACATTTAAAAAAAAGAATTATCGAAATCGGTTCAGCCGTTCACACGTGATGCCGTGACAACGCGAAACGGGTTTCATTTTTATATATATAGATTATTACCTTTGTAAAACCAAAAATTGCATGTCTCTATCCCTATCACTACATTTGCTATGATAGTATACCAGATATACCTCTTAGTTTAAAAGTTATTACGTTTTCTTTACAATAAGTTTGGAAAAAAAAATTCTGTAAAAAATTAAAAAAAAAATCTCAATAAATTTTTGGCCTCTTTTTTGTCGATAAAAATAGGTCTAGATTCACCTAATTTTATATGTGCACTTTATCGTGACTCACACAGTATAATATTAACTGTATGGCCCAGCAGCGAAATAATGACGTGAGTAGAGGATTCGATCCCGGACCTTTTTACTGATCTCGGCATTACGAGATTGTATATAGGCAATCCCGGGATCCCGGGTTAACCCCGGGATTATAAGCCAGAAATAAAAAATAGCTTTTTATAGACGATATTATTATATTAATGAAAGTCGTTCTTAATGTCTACTAAAATGTCAACAAAAATCTACATTATTACAAAGTGTCAGAGATAATTATTAATATTATACTAAGTGATATTTTATGCTACTTGCTACTATGTCATAATGATACTCACCAAAAAATATTTGATATAATCAACAAATTACTAAAAGACTTCGTTTCAACACGTTTCAATGTTGTTGTAATAAAATTAGCTTTTTCCATAGACATCAACATTTGAGTTTCAGAAGTTGTAAAGGGCCAATTAACTAACTAATCCCAACTAACATTATAAATGCGAAAGTAACTCTATCTGTCTGTCTGTCTGTCTGTCTGTTACGCTTTCCCGCTTAAACCTCGCAATCGATTTTGATGAAATTTGGCATAAAGATAGTTTGAGTCCCGGGAAAGAACATCGGATAGTTTTTATCCCGGTTTTTGAAACAGGGACGCGCGTGTTAAAGTTTTTCTGTGACAGACAAAATTCGACGCGGGCGAAGCCGCGGGCGGAAAGCTTTAACTATAATTAAATAATAAAACACAAATAAAGATACTCATTCTATTACCATTATTTATACTGAAAACCCAAATTTTACACAAACAAATTGAAAAGAACCTCCCTGAATGAGAGCGCAAATTAAATAAATTAGCTGATAAGACAAGATGGCTGCCAAATATCAAACGAAGAGTGTTTTTCTTTTTGGTTACAAATCCCAAGCTTTTGAATATAAATACGCCATAATTCCCGTATATGACCAAGCTTCTTTCATTATCTGTGAACAATACATAATAATATTTACCGAATTAAAAGGTGCTGTAAATAATCTTTTTAAAAATAACCGGGTTTAATTGTTAACTTTGATTTTATTAGTTTATTTATACTTTACTAAGCACGTGTTTTTATATATGTTACGGCTAAAGATAGGTGCGAACATAAACTTAAGATTAGCCGGCTAAACTTAAGTGTAACCGCAGGCCCTTGGCTAAAAATGTAGAAGGAAATGGAAAAGGAAACAATGTAATAATATTTACTACTTGGACACGAAAACTTTATTAAAAAATAATCACTTTCATTACACATACTTTTATGTACCTATGTAGGTATTCAAAATTACAATTATTACAATAACAAAATATTAATTACTTAAAACAATATCTAGGTACCTATCATTAAAATAAAATAATAAGGAACCATTTGGTCATTACAGAATCTTCTGTAGGTAGGTATTTAAAATTACAAAATAAAACTTCTTCAGTGTTAATTACTTAAATAATATCTAGTCACAATAATAATTGTTAAATAATATGGAGCTATTCGTTGTCTCCTCACCGCCCCCTCAAGCCCTCCGCCGGCCTGGCGCGCCCATCGAATACATTTTTAGCCGTTTCGTTTTGGCTAATGTGCACATTAGCCGGCTAAAGATGGAATATCACGACGCAAACTAACATGTTATCGAACTTTAGCTGCTTCTCGAAGATAAACTTAAGTTTAGCCGGCTAATCTTAAGTTTATGTTCATACCTATCTTTAGCCGTAATATATATATAACAAATTTAATCAGGTAAACTTACCACTGACATGTTTTCCAGTTTAATTATTATGATCGAAGCATTCATATGAACTGGTGTTTGAGATCTAAAATTAATTAAAGAAGATTATGATTTCGATGTACTATCTAAGATTCAGGCTCTTTACTTCTAGCACGAAAAACTTTCGTCTTCGAATCGTTTGCGTATTCGACAAAATTCGATACTCAGCTCAGCTTTCCAATTCAACGATAACGTGACGATCTCAACTGTCAAAATTAGTTTCGTGCTACCATTTCTCGTACTAAGATCACTTTACGTCACGTTCACACGGGCGCTGTTTATGTTTTCCTACTAAAGCTTTTGATAGCGATTCGAATACGCATACGATTCGAAGTCGAAACTTTTTCGTGCTAGAGGTACTGAGCCTAGACAAACTAATACGTGATTCATTCTTCATAATCACCTTAACATGATGATATTGAGTAATGTAGTGATCCCTCTGCTCCGAGTGTACCAGCGACTCCTGTAGGCTGCGAGCGCCACGCTCTCACTCTGGGAAATGTGAGATAGCCTTTATCACTCTTAATTTACCTAATTTGGCTTGTTTCTGCAAACACGAAGGGTTATGTGCCCTTGTAAAGCTAAAGTTGGGAAGAATACTACAAGGCCCGTGCGACCATGTGGGCCGAGCGAGAGGCGAACTAAGCTAAACTAACTTAGCTTAGCTCTTGGTCTGCAACCCACATTATGGTCTGGTTGGTAACTAAAGACAGATAAGGATTTATTTTTCGAATAAACAATAAATACGTTAGCTGCGATCGGAGGATCGAAAAAAAACCGAATATACTTATAAAAGATTTAATTAAATTAGAAAATTACATGAAATACTTATAATTAAAACAAGATGAGACCTAATCGAAGTATGATTATGGAATGATAAAATAATGAACTACAGTTTATAGGAAAATGTCGATTGACGTCACTTTCACTAATTGCACTAATGTAGGGCAGCAAGTCAGCGAGCGATCTTCATACTGGGCGACAGCGTAATTCCTCCCCCCTTAGAACGGCAACTATTTTATCACGTTGAGTGAAAATGTTGCCGGGATCGCGTCATGATGTTGCTGATCTCCGGAAGGTGCTGGATGCTCTTCCTTCTTTTTAGTCTGGCTATCTTTTTTTTTCTTGTTGAAGCGCCGGTATGCGATGAAGATTGCAAGTATACTCGATGCAAGCAGTATCACATAAAATGGGATGGTTGTGTGATATACGTCGAGTGGGATGTCGGTGATATTGATCGGGGCTTCCATAGTGATCTTGTCCTGGAGTCTGTGTAGTCCTTGCAGGTCAATGGAGTTCAAGTTGATGTGGGATGCTATCCTGATTTGCTTCTCTGTGTCAGATGGGATTTCTGTCAGCTTCAGAGGTTGTCCTCTTATTTCGTCGTTGTCATTGGTGATGGTGAACTCTGTAGTTTTAAGATGACAGCCAACGGGAATCGTAATGAGGTAGCTTCCTTGAAGTGTGGTGTAGTCTCGTCTAGGTAAGACGTAGTGTTGGTCGTCCAACTTTTCCATGGCTTCTTTCTTCAGGGTGATCGTAGAGAATTCNATTATTATATAAAAACAATTAAGTATTGTAAGATCTGGCTACATAATACTTTCTTAAATCCTTGAATGTTAATAAAAACCTATAATAGGTTTCTATTTCTTTTTAATACATTAGCAATTTTTGTTTTCCGTTTTAAAGAAACACTTATCTACGTTATTACAATTTAATACAAATATTGCACTGGGTAACAATAATCCAGATAATTGGTTATCGTAAATATTATAATATTAAGTAACTATTTCAAATTCAATTTTTTATTGCACATTAAGTGTCTTTACCTTTACACAAGGTCTTAAATCAATAACAATTAAACTTCAAACTAAATATGTAATACTTAAACAGTTAACAATGTATAGATAAGTGTGTAAGTAAATGTGTATAAGAATTAAGATTTATTTTGAGAGGCATGGTTCAGTAATCGCGGGGAGGTCAATAAAAAGGCAATCAAACAGTCCAATTACTAGCACGGGTCAACACAAAAAAAAATCAATCGGTTATTGATCACAAAACTTAGACAGACCTCGTATAAAAACACAATGTTAAAAAAATACATAATCTATTTGTTTGTAACCAAATTCTATTATTAAAATTCTAAGGCTGAGTTGCACCATCTTACTTTAACTTTGACAAACGTCAAAAATCTATCAAGCTCCATACAAAAAGCACCGGTTACCGTTATAGTTACGGTCAAAGTTAGGTGGTGCAACTCAGCCTAAAACTAAGAAAGATTGAAGAAAAAGAAACATTTCGTTTTAAACCTTAACCGTATGACAATAAAGTGCACAATGGTATTTCGTATTGCAACCTAAGCCCTGATTGTCTCTTATTGGTCGTAGTAAAAATATTGTAAAATGCGTAACCAATTAGAGACGGGGTGATCACGTGACCGGAACGATGCGCTTACGCTAAAATTTCTACAAAGTGGTCAGGCGGAAGAGTCCCCGATAGTACATGAATGAAATCTCGTTTGTTGCTAGGAAAGGATAGGTCGGGATTAGGGCCTGATTATTTCTATTAGGGACTATGGATAGATGATAGAAGCTATATATTTCCCTGGATACTATTGGGAATTTATATATGAAACTATCTGATTATCAGTGTAGTATGAGCCTGGTTTAATGACATCATAATATTGCCTAAGTTCAAGATTTAATACTTGTTCATTTCCATAGATATTCTTAAGTTTAATTATCATAGATCTAAGAGTGTCCACATCGATCATAGAGTGGTATGTGCTTGATGCACGGATAAAAGCTAAACTATTTTCTAACCTAATTAGTTCCTGAGCAAGGTCTTCAACGTTTTCGCTTATTATAATTAAGAGTTGAGCAAGTCTGGCATATTTAACTAAACTATTTTCGTTGTACACATTGCTTTTCAATATTAATTCAATAGTTGTATTAATTTTATTCTGGTTATCTACAATTTGTGTCAAAATTTTGTCATGTTCGTATATCCATTCCTTATTAATGCTAATATGATTATTAAGTTCCGAGACAATTTTATCTTGGTTACTTTTAAGAAGATTAATGGCTTTATTGTATTTTATTGCATCAGAATGGTCCAGATTATCAGTTATGCTTTTTATAACGGATCCAAGGCCATCTACAATACCTCTTTTAACGCGGTTGGGTTCTAATGATTTTAATTGTACTGATACTTTGCCAAANCATACTACTAAGCTATCTTTTGATGTATAACACATATTTTTAAGAATGGTAATAAATTTTTAGGACAGTTTTTTTACGCTCCTGAAAAGTTGGCATTTTTCACTTGCGTACTTATTCCAGGAAGGGTGCGAAATAGTCAATTTGAGTCTCATAAGGTAAGTGTGTATCGTTAATAAGTCGGGACTTGTAACTCGTCAGTTGGGTTTGTAGGGAGTCGACTTTTTCTTGGATGAGGTCAAGTTGAACATATTGTGTAAATGTATGATGGTGAGTAGTCAATCTCATTGGTCCAAGTTTGTGGGGTAGTAGTCCTGGTCCGTCAGCCAAGCTCTCAAGTTTTATCTCTTGAGACCGAGTGATCCGAAGGATCATTCCTAGTAGTATCCTGTAACAAATTAGCTGTTTTAGGGATACGTTTCAAGCGGTTTTTAGCTATGGGACCGCGTTTTTTTGATGTGTAAATATGAATGGGCAAATCTGCTAATACTGTATCCTGAGTGTAGCGAGGGGCTACCTTTTGACGTTCAGCTAAAGGATTTTTAATAAAAATTTGTTGCTCGGGAGCATATTGTACTTCAGGTTCCCGGTTTTTATTTCTGTTCTCTATAATGGCTGTTCTGTCTACTAGGGATTTGTTGTTAACTATATCGTAAACTATCTTCATTCGATCCCTATGATTCTGAAGGTATTGCTGTAAAAGGTGCTCAGTTATGTCGATATTTAGACAGTCTCTAGCGTCAAAATGTCCAGTAAGTAAGTCAAATGGTCTGCATTTTGTGAAACTATGTATGGAAGAATTGTAAGCTATAAGCGCATATGGCAAAAGGTTCACAACGGGTTCGTCCTTGTGCTGTAGTTTCAGGAGTCTTAGATGTTCTAGGAGAGTCAGGTGAAATCTCTCAATGTTACCATTATCGTTAGGGGAATGGGCTAGGATTCTATGGTGGTTGATCTTGTGCAGTCTAGTAAATTCTAAGAATAACTGATTGGTGAATTCAGTACCATTATCAGTTACTAACGTCACGGGCACTCCGTGGTGAGTACAATATTGCAATAAAGCCTGTAGTTATACTGAGGGCAGTACCGTCACGCAAATGGTATGCTTGACCGTATTTAGTAAAGACATCTATAAAGGTGACATATTTTTCACTTTGTACAGTGAACAGGTCCATATGAACTATTTCAAAGGGTTTAGTTGCAGGAGGCACAAGATTAAATTGAGGTCTAATAGGATTTCGGTCGTATTTGCCTTGACCACAGATGGTACATTCGTTAATAAATTTAGTGATTTGGTCCTTCATCTTGGGCCAGTAATATTTTCGGGATAAGGACAAATAACATTCATTGATGCCACGATGGTTAGTTTTGCCATCATGATAGTGACGAATTATCTCCTGCTGGCGGAGATATTCCTTGACATTTTCTATTTCTGATTTAGTTAGTACTAGGTTCATTGAAGAACCCTTAAATTTGTCCTGTATTATGGGGATAATGGAGTACATTGCGAGAGCGGGGCTAATGAGAAGTCCTGTCTTAACTTTGGGGTTGACGTATTCCTTAATAGCATTTACTAAGTCCTCTTCCAAGTTTGTTTCTGATAGCTGTATACTTGTTCGTGTGTGTGTGTCAAATGGTTTGGTCACAGTGGGCTTTCGTTTAACATTATTAACTATAGTGNACAACAACAATAATATACCTGAATATAACGTATATTAATATAATTACGTACATCGGGTATATAAAAATTAACGTACAGTTAGGTTTAGAGAGGGCTACTTCGGTCGGGTTGCCTAATAGGGAATTAAGTTCGTCAATTTCTTCCATTAATGATCTAGTACACCTAGATGAATTTCTATTCGAGACAAAGCATCGGCATTGGTGTTAATTTTGCCTTTCTTGTATTGCACTGTGAAGTCGTATTCGCTCAGTCTCAGTCGCCATCTAGTAAGACGTGAATTTGGTTCTTTTAAATTCATCATCCACTCAAGAGGCTTGTGGTCAGTCAGTATCCTAAATTTTCTACCAAATAGGTAGGGCCTAAAATATTTCGTAGCCCACACTATGGCCAAGAGTTCTTTCTCGATTGTGCTATAGTTAATTTCGCTATCATTTAGTGTTCGAGAAGCGTAGCACACAGGTTTATCAGATCCTATAGGACCTTGGGATAATATGGCTCCAATAGCCACGTTTGAAGCGTCTGTTGTAAGGTTGAACTCTTTAGTAAAGTCAGGATATTGAAGAATGGGATCATTGGTGAGAAGAGTCTTGCATTTCTCAAAGCAATTTACGTATTCGGGAGTGAGTAGTATTTTTCTACCCTTTTTTAGACATTGAGTCAGAGGCTTGGTGGTACGTGCAAAATCGGGAATGAATTTTCGGTAGTAACCGAGAAGTCCAAGGAATTGTTTAATTTCCTTAGTGGTTTTCGGGATTGGATATTTTTGTATAGCGGAGATCTTGTCAGGGTTTGGTTTAACACCGTCCCTGCTGATTACATGGCCAAGGTAAGCTGTTTCAAGTTTCAAGAACTCCGATTTGTCCATCTGAATTTTGAAGTTGGACTCTCGAAGTCTTTGAAATACTTTTTCCAGGTTTACCATGTGTTCCTGGAGGGATGTGCTATAGACAATTATGTCATCGAGATACACTAAGCAAATATCGTTTTGGAGGCCTCTAAGGACGTTATCCATCACTCGCTGGAATGTGGATGGAGAATTTTTAAGTCTCATGGGCATTCGAAGGAATTCAAAATGTCCATGCTCGACATTGAAGGCCGTTTTAGAAATATCCTGGGGATCCATCTCCACTTGGTAGAAGCCGCTGGCCAGGTCAAGTGTGGTGAAATACTGGCATTTCCCTAGCTTGTCCAAGACGTCACTGATGTTGGGTATGGGATATTTGTCGTCAATTGTCTTTTCGTTCAGTTTGCGAAAGTCAACCACGAGTCGCCATTTCTGTTTGCCGGACGCATCTATTTTCTTGGGCACCACCCAGATGGGTGAGCTCCAGGCTGAGTCGGAGGGTCTGATGATGCCCTGTTCCAACATCTTTCCTATCTGAGTCTTAACTTCCTCTCGATGAACAAAAGGATATCGATAGTTCTTAGCGTGCACAGGGACCTCGTCGGTGGTCCTGATCCGGTGTTTAATCTTATTTGTGAATGTTAATTGCTCACCGTCAATATAAAAAACGTCCGCGTAGCGAGAGCAAAGAGTAATTAAGTTGGTTTTTTCCTCTTCGTTCAAATGCTCGGTACGTAAACGCGAGATGACGTCATCAGCGCGCGACGCTGGCTG